ATAAGTTACCTCAACACCTCATAGACCTAATCCATACCAAACGCCGTGCCAGATTATTATGGCAACGTACTAGACACCCCACCGATCGCCAATCCTATAATTATTTTTGCAAAAAACTAAAGATAGAATTGGCCACCTTCAGATCCCAATCCTTCAACTCCTACCTCACTTCCCTCTCTTCTCATGACAATTCCCTATGGAAGACCACCAAACATATCCTAAAACCCCATCACATATCACATCCTCTCCGTCGAGGTGATGGCTCTTGGGCAGCATCTGACGAAGATAGAGCCGAAGAATTCGCCAAAAACCTTTCCCTTACATTCACCTCTCATCCAGAATCCAATCCCACCCACACGTCAGCAGTAGAGGAATTCCTTAATTCACCCATCCCACTCTCCTTACCGCCTAAAGCAGTTAATCCTTCTGAGGTCAAATTCCTTTTACAAAAACTACCTACCCGTAAATCACCTGGATACGACCTGCTTACCTCTCAGATCCTTAGACAACTCCCTCCTAAAGCTGTCATATTCCTTACATACATATACAATAGCATCCTACGAACCACCCACTTTCCTCTTTTGTGGAAACATTCCACTATTATCCTGTTTCCGAAACCAGGCAAACCTCCCAACACCTCAACGTCCTACAGACCAATTAGCCTTCTTCCTATTCTCTCAAAAATCTTTGAAAAGATCCTCCTAAAACGCATCCTACCCTTTATAGAATCCCAAACTCTTCCTTCCCATCAGTTCGGATTTCGTTCACAACACTCTACAGTCCAACAAGGACTCCGAGTGGTTGATCATATTTCCGCAGCATTGGAAAGCAAGCAATATTGCTCGGGTGCATTTCTGGACATAGCTCAAGCTTTCGACCGGGTATGGCACGCCGGGCTTCTTTCCAAGCTGAAAAACTATCTTCCTCAGTCCTTGTACCTTGTTCTCCGTTCCTACCTCTCAGATCGTACCTTCCGAGTTCGTTGCGGTACTGAATTTTCGCATTGCTATCCAATTGAGGCAGGTGTTCCTCAAGGTAGCGTATTGGGTCCCGTCCTTTACATCCTCTTTACCGCCGATATCCCTGTCCATCCCGATACCTTCCTGGCAACTTTTGCTGATGACACCGCTATTCTATCATCCGACTCAGATCCCAACATAGCATCCTTAAATCTCCAAAACCACCTCACCTTGATTGAGCACTGGTGTAATAACTGGCGCATTAAAGTTAATGAATCTAAATGCCAACACATTACCTTTACACTCCGACGCAGTTCCTGTCCACCAGTACACTTTAATTCCATCCAGCTTCCTTACTCAGACACAGTCCGGTATCTTGGCTTTCATTTAGACCGAAGACTGACGTGGAACCCACATACTAGACTCAAAAGACAAGAACTCAACCGACGATACGGCCAGCTATACAGACTACTAAACAGAAAATCCAAACTTTCTATTGAAAACAAATTACTTATCTACAAGACAATACTGAAACCTATATGGACATACGGACTTGAACTGTGGGGTACAGCAAAAGCTTCTAACATCAAACGTATTCAATCCTTTCAATCTAAAGTCCTTCGAACAATAGTTGATGCTCCGTTCTATGTAAATAACAAAATCCTACACCATGACCTTAATATCCCATTTGTCCTAGACCTTATTCCAGAAAAATTCTCCAAATTTCACCAGAACCTTACCTATCATCCAAATCCCCTTGCACAATCTCTATCCAGCACCACCCATCCTTACAATCCTCCTCGAAGGTTGAAGCGGCAGTGGCCCAGAGACCTTTTGTAAATAAGCATCTATTGGAGTTTTGGCAATGGCCAGATCCTCCACTCAAGCCCGAGTGTGTATGATTAGGTTAGTTCTTTTGTTTATATACATTTATTTTATTTTATTGTATTTATTTTTATTTTATTCATTGTATTTATTATTATTAAGTTTCTGTATTATTTTATTTTTTTTTTTTATTGTAAATAGAGTGTGAGTGTGCTTTCTCTGAACACTATTATAAATGTCCTTGATGTGACAGAATGTAATATTTCTAAATAAACAAATAAAAAAAAAAATTTTGTATAAATGTTTATCTGTTTTGTATGAATGTGATCTGTGAACTCTATTATAAATGTCCTAGAGACAGATTGTAATATTTTTCAATAAATAAGTATATATGTAAACCGTATAAAATTCACTTATGTTACTTTATATACTGTATAATTCAATTAATAAACACAATTGTTGTTTCGCTTAACAGTTATATGAAAATTATCTCTTTGAATTTACTGATGAGTTCAGTATTTTTTTTTCTTTCTCACTACCGAAGGTAGTGACGCATTGTGTTCGTAGAGGTTAAAAAAAAATTTCTGCTTAGAATCGAAAATTTCTACTCGCGTTTTACGTTTCAGACGTCAAGGATCTGATTTGGTTCGGTGTCTGCCTGTGGTCAAATCGATGTGACGGGCATATCACACAACTACCATTTATCTGATTTTCCTGAAATTTTCAGGGATTATGTGGATTGGTGCCTAGATGGTCCCACGTTCAAACGTATTTTTTTAGATATGCCAATATTTCAGAAAGGGCTCCTTCGATTTGGCCCAAAGTTGGATAAAAAGTAAGTGTTGGTGAAAACATAATGTAGTGTCAATTTTATTGAATTCTGTCGACTACTTTCTCCTATATATGCGATACTATATTACACGCGTTGCTATGGACTGTAGCGCCTAAACGCATGTACCAATTTCAACCAACTTTGTTAAAGTCATTTTCTCGACGCTCTTTAAATTTATCTATATAACATAACTCAACGAAAAAAAGCTGGAAAAAAGTTACGAGGGATGGTAAAATTAAATTCCGAATAACCCAAAAGTATGCAATTTTTTGTCGATCTTGTATTGTATGGTTTTTTAAAAAGTTTATAGAATTTCTTCCCCCCTCCTCCCCCATAAATGTTAAGATCGAACAATTAACAGCTATGGTTTCTAGTTTTTTTTTTAGATTGAATTTTTTTTTCTACTGAAAAGGTAGATGTATATATATATTGTGTGTGTTTGTGTTTGTCATTAGAAATTCCCAAAACTGGGGTGTGTTTTAATGGTAAGCTTTGAGAGATGGTAAATTACTCCCAATGACTTGTCCAGAGAACTGATGTTATGTTATGTTATGTTACGGCTTGTTAACATTGCTCCGCACAAAGAAACTGTCATTCCATGGCCTCATCAGTCTTTTATAACCTATTTCCGTTTCAAGTTCGTTCTGTGTATTACTCGGATAGCATGCTATACCATGCTATATTTCGGAAACCAATATGTATTACGCTTCTAACCGACAAAGTTCTTATAACATATATTTCCTTCATCATCAATTTAATAATTTTTGATTCCTCAATAAATAATCTTTTGTTTTTTAAATTTTGAATGTGTTACTGAAGTAATGCTATTTTTTAGCATATTACTAATGATTAAAAAAAAAATTAGTCCAATAATTGGAATCACCTTTTATTTATTTGTATTTATAACTAGGAAGGCAATGTTACTTTAGATGTCTAATTTATTTATTTATTTGGTATTTTGTTGCCTCTACCGTGTAGGGTCATTGGCAACGCCTTTAAATTACACTCTGTTGCAGAGTTTTATCACTTTCGTTAACGATTTCGTCAGGGTCAGTTATAAAGTCTTGTCCACTCTTTATACCAGGTAATTTCTTTGTTTTGGAGATCCCCTTAATGCTTTTCACTTTATTCCAGAGCTCCTTCATTGAAATGCTTTGATTTAATGAAGATACGAAGTCTTCCCATGACGATCTTTTGCTTTTCGGTATATATCGTAATCTTTGTATCTCACTGTTTGATTTTCTTGTAAGTGTGTTTCTTGGAGACAAACTAGTACAGGGTTCTCTTCGCTTATTGTCACTTTTAGGTGCTCTAAATGTCGGAAAAATCTGTTACAATTCCATTGAATGATTGTTTTCATTTTGATTGGCAAAGTATTTCTTATTTTCCATATTATTATTATCACCATGTGTTGAGATGTCTAATTGTTTGGAAGTAATAAACCATTGTGAAATAATTTGCAGCGTTTTATTTTTCTTCAAATTAATTATCGGTATATGTATAAGGAAAAAAAAATCTTTCGGGCTGAAGCCTCTCACCCCAAATAAAAATAAGAATAAAGTTCCAAAATGGAGATTCTGAAATACTCCAGTGGATATTGGATGGTGATGGTGATTATGGATACCCAGATATCATCACAATTATTAATTGCTAAATTTTAGTATACTTTTTTTTTTTAAGTGGAACTTATTTATTTTACCCTTTTTTTGTGGAGAGTGAATTAGATAGAATCGTCAGATCGCCGATGTATAACACTCGGGTAAAGTCGGCTGGATTCGACTAATTGAAATGTTTTTGCATATTGTCAGCGAGGAAAATGTTCATCATTTCATCCTCTTTGTAATAATAATGAGCTATTATTAAAAATTGTATCTTATGTTGACAACGAAATAATAAGGAGTTTTATTGAAGATATGGATTGGAATATTTCAGAAAATAAAAATCGGATCTGTATATTGTAAGCGCGAGAAATAGGTTTAATATTACTGATCTTGCCTTGTCGATGTTTTCACTTCTACCGTGTGATTTGAAGCAAATTCCTTAGGTTTTTTTTTTTTTTTTTAAGTTTTATTTTGAGAACCCTTCATGTATATCCTGACAAAAGCTATCCTTTCGGTTAAGAGACATTTAAAATTAAAAATATATATATATATATTTTCTATCCTGGCGGATATAGGGCACCCTTGCGGAGGACCGAGAGATCCTTCGGATTCGATTAGCCATGTTGATCACGCGAAATAATTCTGTTTCCGGAGCAGCAAGGACCCTCTCAGTCGAGGGATAATTCTGTTATAACAACCGACGTGAACACGATAGCCATTATAACTACATAGAATATTGTTATTTTTAATAAATTATATTTAATAATTTAGTGATGTACTAACCTGCAACAGCGCCACGTTAGTGATCTCGGTGCTGTACTTCAAGCACTCTATAAAGCCGAGAGAGCACCTTTTGTGTACCTCCCATTGGAAGGTACGCAAGGGAGGTTCAGGGAATCTTTTGTAATATTCCTTCACCGCTTTTTCTTCATCTGTAATATACCTGTAAATAAAAAAATAATATAAATATAACTGTTGATTAAGTTGATTAACGTTTTAATTTGTTTAATCATTTAATCACCTTTTTATATTTTACTTAATTAATAAAAAAAAATTATAAAAAAGCGTTCATGGAAATTTTTTAAAATGAGTTATTAACGGTAAAACAATTCATGTATTAAAATCTTCTGAGCTTAAAAAACTAAATATTGCAAAATGGTATGTATGTGTCTTAGCCCTGGAGCCAGTGCCCAAAAATCGACCTCATCGTAGGCGAAGGTTTGTAGTAATAAAGTGTAAACTTTATTCAAAAATAAAGTTTCTTTACCTGCACAAATTTTTTCTTGAAATTTCTGGGGGATGTGACTAACCTACCTGAGGGGGAAAAAGATCATCAAACTTAATCTCAATCAATGGATTTTATGAAGAATTAACGAAAATATACGTTACGACAAAAAAAAAAAAAAAAAAAATCTTGAGAAATAAAATATAAAGATTATTATATTATAACATTGAAATAACAAGAAAATATTTGTAGACTGTAAATATAGATTAGTAGTTAGTGGTACAGACCCCTTTTTATCAAACTATTAACTCCCTCCTAAGACTTCATCTTATCTTAAACTTTTTATTCTACGATTATTTTTTTTTAACCTTTATTTCTTTTATCTACTAAAATTCTCAAAAATCGAGCATTTCATTATTAAATTAATTGATTTAATTAGGTATTAAAAACTGATAAATACTCATTTGCTTTCCATTATTCTGATTAAAAAGATCCTTGTCTGCCGTTCCAGAGCCGCTGCTTTAAAAAATGGTGGCTGATTTAAAGAAAATTAGGCCAGTAATTTGAGGATAGGAACGGGAAATCCATTGAAAAAAATGAAAAGTTTTTGTTTTTTTAACTTGTATATTTATAAGGTTTATACATGTAAAAAACGAAATTGCTAATCCGGACTACCAAGGGGAAAACTTTTTACAGCCAAAAAGTCAGATTTTTTTGTTTTTTCACCTATAACTCCTAAACGATGCATCAAAGAGAAAATTGTATTTCTTAATAAATTAAGGAACGTTAAATTGTGCGTCGAACGAGTACACAAACTTTATAATTTGCCTATTTGGTAAGGTATGAAACCGCGGTCAACCAACGCAGGTTTTTACCAAATATGTGGTTATGAAATTGTATTTTTCTCCCAGATTTCTGTCACAAATGTTGATTCGTATTTATAAGTGACAAACTTAATGTTTCGAGCCCAAACATTTACATTTTCATGAAAATAATAGAAGCAATCAGTAGCTTTCTTTATTTTGATCAATTATTTTAATAAGAAATATTACTTTTATCACTGATAAACACAGATAAATTCCTATGACAGAGATCTGGAAGAAAAATACAATTCCATAAACATTTTACATGAAAATATATTATTTTTATAACAAATGTAATGGGTATTTAAGGAATTATTTTTATTACAGTACATCCTAGATCATGGAAAAACAAGGAATAAATGCTATGCAACAGTAAATTGTAGTCATTTTTGCTAGAAACAAAATTTTAGCCGTCTGGTTAGAAAATCACATCATTCCTTTGCACAACTTAAAATGAATCTCAAATTTTTGCGTAATAAAGCTTAACTTAATTAATATTGACTTAAAGTTTATTAAACGAGGAAGTTTTTCTAAAAGTTGGTTATCTGTAGTATAGTCGGACAAAACTAAAAAAAAAAAATAGCATATAATTTATGATTTCTTTAAAAACTTATTTATGATTTTTAAAAAATTTATTTAGGATTTTTTAAACAGAAATTAGGTTAGTTATTCGCACAATAGTCCTCTTTAAATTTTTTGAATTATGACAAACTCTATTTCTATTTTAAATAAATTTTGTCTAGTTTACCGTGAATGTATTGTTAATTACGTAAGTTAAATATTTCTTTAGTTATCACTTCCTATTCAACAAAAAACATAACACTTAAGAAAACACATAACTTGGACTGCCTACTTTTCTGCTGAAAATAGGCCGATTATTTATATCATTTTTTTTTTTTTTTGTATCTTACGAGATCTGCTATCTTTGCTATTAAAATTTCCCTATACTTACGGGACACCTTGTGTATGTATAATACATAATTTCAGAAGATAAATGTTTTAATTTTATGTAGTAATCTCTAAAATGATATATATCATTACATATTACATATATGCATCATCATATCAGATATACATCATCAACGAAATAAATATACGATGAGAGAATCGTAAAAAAAATCAATAAAAACAAAATGTTCAACTCCAGAAAAAAATGAATCTCAAAAACTCATTAATTAAAGCTCAGAAAAAAGCGAAAACGTGAATGACTGAAAAGTGAAATTGATCATTTTTCCAGCTAACTTTTCAATTAGTAATGTCAAAAAGTGTAGATAATATTAGACTGTAATGGTTTCAGAGAATTCTTTCTTTCTCTCTAAATCTTAACTTAAATACACTTCATTTCCATAATTCCTTATCTACTGTGGAAGGAAGGTGTTTTCAATCAGGTACGAATGAAATGTTAAGTACATAGGCACATAAAGAAAAAAAAAATAAAGCCAAGAAAATAGCCTTTTAAAGCATGGATTAATTGAAAATATATAGCGTACTAAAAAATGAAATTAACTTGAAAAGATAAAATATTGGAAGAAAAAATTATATCAGTTATTTATTTCAGTTTTAAATCAACAATATGAGAAAATAATTCGGAAATAAATAGCAGGATCTAAAACAAGTTATTCAGTTAAACGAATAACCTCCTAGCAGACGGACTGCCAATCGAATTATCCTAACAATGTTTACACTTCCAATATGGCGTAGGCTTCTCATTTCCTTTTTAACTTCAGTTCAGTATAGGCCACCGTTCGGTTCGGTTTCTTGTATATGTGATATTGTTGAAGTGTGTTTTGTATTTTTTTTTTTTTTTTGTTCAGTTACTTCGTTTAATGTGAAACATTTGTTTCGAATTAAATGTGTTAAATTTTGTTAAATATATAGGTTTCTGTTACATAAAATATATTCGGATATTGCTATATTAAAGGTATGTATAATTATTGAAACAAATAAAATATTATTTTTTTTTTAGATTTTTCTGGGAATTCCAACATAACTTTTTATTCGTTCAAGGTAGTAAAATAAGATCTTTCAATACAATCACAGGCGGATCTACGGGGGGGGGGGGGGGGATAGAGTGAGGGGGAGGGCTTTTGGCCTGAAGCCCCCCAAAATGATAAAATAGAAGCATGTCTTATGAAAAAAATATTCATAAAAGTATTATTGTTCGTCTTATTACATTTAATAGGACTTCAAAAATCACTTATACACTATTTCCTATAGTTTCTTTCTTTTTATTAAAAAAAATTATCGTTATTTATTTTAAAAAAAATCTTTCAGGATGAAGCCCCCCCCTAAAATAGTAAAATTATGTTATTATGAAAAAAATTATCTCTAAAAGTATTATTGTTCATCTAATTACATTTAATAGGACTTTAAGAATCACTTAAAAAACATATCACATGGGTAGTTGTTTCTTTCTTTCTTCCGAAGTAATTATCCTATTATCTATTATATATTATTATCTACATAAAAAAAAATCTTGCGCGCTGAAGCCCTCCCCCCCCCCCAAAGAAAAATTAAATCCTGGATCTGTTAGTGAATACAATATATATTAATTAGTTAATATTTCAAAGCGTTTCTCGCATTATCTAATTTAACTAAATATTGCAGTATATTAACTTCGAAATAAAATAATATTACATGTCTTTCTGCTCATAACAAAATAATAAAATTTATAAACTTACATCTGCAGACATTTGTTATTGGTTCAAAACTTGTATTTTCGATAGAGATAAAAAAATGTACATTTCGATGGTTTATTGAAACAATTAATTATGTAACATTTCATAACCTTACACAATTAAGAACTGAGAAGAATTTTCCTTATTTTAAATTATAAAATTGTTTGTTTTTGTATTTATATTTAATATTTAAAAAGTGTTGACTCATTTTCATGTCTTACGGTATTTTTTATATAAATATGTACTAAAACATATTTGAAAGTTAACCTACATCAAAAATCTACTTCACGAGTTTTCAATAAAACGACAATTATTTAATTTATATGATAATATTTAAGTTATATACCATAAATATTTATTTCATAAAACAAAGTTTTAATATGAGGTTTAATTTTAGTTATTTTAAAATGTAGGAATCAGAAAAAATCAATAAAATTTCGTTAGTCATTGTATAGCATACTTTAAATTATTTAATTCTTTAAAATATTTACTAAATTTCTAATAAGTTATTCTAAAAGCGTAAAAACGTTGTCTAATTAAACTTAAATATTTTAAATAAACATATCTTATTTTATCACAACATAATCAGATGTTTCTGCTTTAATAATTAAAATATGCACTTATTTAAAAATATTAGAATTTTTATCTAAAAATATAAAATTAAAACATCATTGTGTATGAATAACGAGAAAAAGAAACATTAATATTGATAATAACTATTAAATACCTGTTAATAAAGAGCTCAATAGTTGATCACTGTTTTATGTAGACTCTTCTAAGCTTGAATGATTCTGGTTTTATCCAGTTACACTAGACAGTGTGGCGGTAACTATATGGCGGTAACTCTCAGCCAATCAGATGCGAGTACGTCTATAATCAAGGTGACATTGCTCACATCTCAACCAGTGTCTATATTAAAATTGGTAGTGCGGTTCGGCTCATTATCGAATTGTTGAATTCTTTTACTTTAAATGTGTGAAAACTGTTATAAATGTTATAATTCTGATTCATTCAAGTTTAATTTTAATTTCTTGGTTATTTTTTTATTAATTTCGTTTCAAAATTTGCTAATTTTAAAGCGGATAGTGGACTTGAAGAAAGAAGGCCATATTGGACTTTTCTGCTATTAGTGAGTAACGTATTTTTTCTCCAGCTTGTTAATTCATATTTCTAATTT